AAGATTACGTGTTTACTGACTGATAGAGAGATTTTATATACGAAAAATCAAATTAATGTTAGCTTCTCTTTATTCGTTAATTAGAATCGATTAAAACAACAATATTGGTACAACAAAACTAGTGAGCACAAACAATAGGTAACTTTCGCATGAGAAACTATCGTTTCCCAGGGCATAGAGCGCGAATAACGCAATAAAAAATACAGCATGTCTCAACGTATCGGGTTGTAAAAAACCTCAAAACAATCATTTTACATAATGCTCCCGCATATCTATGGTACCCTATAAGGGACGTTAAACATTAGACTGTAGCGTCTTACATATTAAACGAGTTACTTACGTTTTTTTAACACGCTCTCTGCGTAACAGGTCGATATCGGCCTGACGCGGTACTTAAACCGGTGCGGAAAAACTATGTCCCTCTCGCTTGGAAAACGACTATCTCAGGTGTACATTACATAAAATGTATAAATTATGTTTCCACAAAGTTATAGAAATTTAATCTATCCTGATGCTGGTGGGTCTAGAAAGACCTGCCACACACTCGCGGAAATTTCATTGGGGGGCGCTTTTCGGCCCACCACACCAGATTAAGATTTTACTTGCCGCAGTAAACGCGTTAATTTAATGTTCATAAAGCGTGCAACAACCTTTTTAAACTGTAGTGGTTTTTACAAACAAAATGTCCGTAAGACACAGGTTTCTTACCACGATTGTGCCGAATTAAAACAAACCAATCGTGGTCAGAAACCTTATCTTACTAACATTATACACCTTTCTTAAGTAGACAAATTTTAACTAAACAACATTAAAGACAAAACCATGTTTCTTAACCTTTACTAAATTGTAGATAGGATAGTTTCTATTGCCCCAGTCAATTTTATTTACAAAACCGCTTTTTCGTGAAATAAAGATTTTTAAAAGTAACAAAAAGACTACTAGATATAAACTAGATTAGTAAAAGAAATGATAAAAAAAGGGTTAAAAAAAACATAATTAATTTGAACAAATAACAAAATCTAGCTCGATATTTCTTGTAGTTGTACTATCTAGATTATTCTAATTTAAAAAAGGAGTATTCGTATAATCTAGGAATTCATTCATAGATAAACCCGCATTTGAATATAGATTATTCGCTAATCTGCGATTATGTAAAAATCCGTGAATTAGCAAACCAAATTACCATAAACAAGTGACAGATGGAAAGATTCCAATAAAAGTTTTATCGGACACGTGGCGTTTGTAATAAAATGCAAACCAATTAATTCATTCTTAAAAATTCTTCTACGCTCTCCTTTAATCCTAAGATCAAATAATTCCATAGTAATCGTCTCTATTTTATTTGACACGTTAGATTTAGATATGGCAAGTAAAAACAGGTATTAATAAGCCTAATATGGCGAAAAAATAGTTGTAAACCTATAATCTATACATAATTATAAAGAGGAAAGATTTGTATTTTTGTATTTTGCAATAACTCAAAAACTGTTGTACCTATTTCAAAAATTCTTTCACCATTACAAAGCTACGTTATCACTGAGTAACATAGGCTACATTTTTATTTTATTTCACGTGGGCGAAGTCGCGAGCAACAGGTAGTATTGAATATTTTAATCATACTTACATAATAAAAAAGCAGCTATTGCCTTAACTAACTTTACTATTTAATACACAGAAAATAGTGTTTAAAGTATTAGTAAGAATTATTGAATGGTTTACATTTTTCAGCCTTAAAACGGTAATTTACTTCTATTAAGTTCAATCTCCATAAGAGTTGCAAAAGCCTTGACATACAAAATTAGTGCTTATAACAATTTGTCTACTTGCACTAAAAAGATCGCCAAAAACAAGAGCCCGATAGTGTCCAAATACGCAAGGTCTGCCTCATAAGCGGTAAAAAAGGCGGTCTTTACGAGTAACAAACGACTAAAAAGGCTAACTGCCAAACTAAATCGTTACACTACGTTTTAGACGACAATTCTGCGGTCTGGCCTGCGTGTGGTCTGAATTCATTTGCCCATATATGGAGCTTATTGAAGTGTTAACGTAACTTTGTAATTAAAACCTCCGATACATAAAATATAACTTCAAATTATTAGACAGTAAATTGATATGTTGGGTAAGAAACCATTTTTTAATCTAGGAAACAACATGGCGTCGCATTTGGCGCCAAATAATGTTGCATTACAATTTAATAGCCTTACAAAACAACGCGGTATAAAGTTAAACTTAGGAATAAACTGAGTGTCAGCAAATACTAGTAAAAAAATTGCTTATACTCAGTTTATTCCTAAGTTTATTTGTAATGCTGTAATATATAAGTGTGTATAGAATGATATAGTAAAAGCTGAACAATAAAACTGTTTATAATGTAACATTGAGGGACATGCAATACATGATGCATGTAACCCTACAACCAAAAACTGACCAATCGACTAAAAAACTTGTTAATGTTTAAATGCGCCGTCAGATGGGGCTACTCAAATATTCAATGTTTCTCAGACACTGGTTGCTACAAATAAATATAATTCGCGGAACGATTTCTCGACGAGAACGCACGATTGGCTCCAAACAGAGTTATTGATGCGGACTTCTTCACGCAACATGCAAATACACGCTTGGAATAAGGTCGAAAATTAACGCAACGTGTTTATCAGAGCGGAAAACGCGAAAGCTAAGGGAGATGTCGCACTAGCCAGATAAGCAGTCGCACATCACGGATCAAGATAAAGTAGCACAAGCTTTACTGCCTTATCAACTGATGTCTCAAATATACTCGCATGCAATACGAAGTAAACTTCACATTATTTATTGACTTTAGGTTAGTTTCGTTAACCCAATAACGAAATTAAGAAAATTGAGAGACGTCCTATTCAATACAATGCGAAAACTCTAAATTGTCATAAAATTTTGGCGTAAACGACAAACATTTAAATGTGTAAAAGCGTCTTTAACGGCCTTGCCGTTTACACTCCTAATTTATTTCACACTAGCTTTCGTCCGCGATTCTGTCCGCGTGGAGTTAAAAAATCAAAACTGAGTAGGCTATGTGTTCTTCCAGACTATCCTATACGCCTATGCATAATTTCATCGAAATCCGTTCAGCCATTTAAGCTACAAACTCTAACAAACAAACATCCATCCATCTGTCTAAACTTTCGTATTTATAACATTAGCATGATTTTGACGTCTCTCAGATTGTAAGCAGCACTTGCGAAGCGACGTGATTAATTCGTTTCAGTATCCAACCCAAAATTAATCAATATTGCATAATTTTAATAGCTAATGATTTAAAATTTACACGTAGAAAATAGTTTGACAGACATTATGTACGGTTTGTCTATATGATTTTTGATTAGAACAAGATATATAGTGTGAAATAACCCTTAATATTAAGTGAGAAATTGCTGGGTTCGTAGTTGAGATTTATATGTGACGCCGACCTGAGTCAGGCGCGACTCCAATTGGCCGACAGACAATTGCTCGTTAATTGCAATTGTTTTAAAAAAAGAACGCTCCGTCATGCGAATAGAACATGGCGATATATACGTTTTAAAAATATAGAGAAATCATTTAATTTAAAATAATAAGTTAAACGCCGTTCAATTAACTTGGGCGATTATTTTATTACTAGCATTCACCAGTGACTCCCTCCGGATGGATTTAAAAAAAAAGTGAGTACCCTATGTACTTCTAGATTAGATTATCCTCTACGTCTATACTAAATTTCACCGATGTGACTTTAGCCGTTTAGTCTACAAACTCTAATAAACATCCATCTATCTAAACTTACGCATTTATAATATTAGTAAGATAACCTTTTAACTAAAAATCAAAACATCAAAACGCCATTAGAAAAAAAACATGTAAAACAAAACCCAACCAAAGAACAGTTGAATACAAACAGCTTAATACTCGATTTGAATTCGAAATACAAACTTTCCCTCCAAAAGTAGAAAAAAACAATTTTAAACATAAAAGTCCCTTTCTTTGACGTAACATTTATAATCAATATTCGTAAAGTTGGTGTTCTATACAGAAATCGTGTTGTACCGAAACGCATACTAAAGTTGTCTACGTACTCATTTAGTATTCAACTAGTTGAGCTTAGACGAACGCGTCGTGCGAGCTATGTACGGAATTAAACTGTTGTTTTTATCTCAGATCTAGTATGTCCAATGTCCTTGCGCGCGTACACGGAATATGAAAATCGGCCCTTTACAATTAATGCACGTTGCATAAACTTAACAACTATATTGTTATTATATATATACTTTCTCAGAACGAAATGTATTCAGTATAGTTATTATATTGTGTTTAAAGATCCATTTCAAATACACTAATGATATAATTAACAGATGTAATGGCCTAATTTTATTTAACTTTAGGTTATGATAATGTTTATTAAATTGTTGGTTTTAAGCTCCCGTCGTTAGAAAACTATTGCTTATTACAAACATCAAGCTAGTTACTTCTACGTAGTAATGCATAAAATTTAAAATTACCTTCATTTTGTTAATCAGATAATTAAATGTCGGATATGAACGGATAACAAAAAAAAGACAATGGACTGTTTACAATAACAATGGAATTTGGCGCTTTATACTAATTTTTCTCATATAATTTAAACTTTTAGGTATTCTGAGTTGATTCATTAAGACCTAAGTTGTATACATGTAAGAAAAAACATCGACAAGTACCGTTGAATCAGATAATATAAGATTCAAGTTACATTACAAGAAGTCTGCGTCAACAGAAGCGGCACAATTAAAGTACATTAAAAAGTACGATACGTTGACTTCACTCCAGTTTTTAAAACAACTAGTTTCACAAGTACCTCATAAACTGTGAGAACCAAGGTATTAACCGTCCGTTTGCCGCACGCGAGAACCTGCTCAAAGCTCCCTACTCAAGGTGGGCTCTCACCCGCGGCCGCGTTGCTCCGCAGTGCTTTCATAAGCTCAACCACTCTTCATTACAGACATTCAGAGACCACTTACCTTCTACTCCGTGGATTTTGGCCGCCAGACTCGACAGCAGCACACCTATAGACAGCAACATAATCCCATAATCCGGTGTAAAGTTTCTCGACCACATTATGAAGCACAACATTCACACATGGAACACACACATTTGTTTTACTCCTTCTGTCGATAAATCACTTAATAATCAACACTCACGGAACTAAATGTAAGAACTGACACTTCATTTTGTTTATAAATTGTTGTTACGTTGAAAACATTGCATGTTTAGTCATTTTAGCGGTAAAACAAAATTTTAAATTTATACTAAGCCCGGTAGTAACATGCGCAACCGCGTCCTGCGCGCATCTGGCTGCTTTGTTCGTAAATACACGCATACGGTAAATCAAAATGGCGGCGCGCGCGCCTGTGTGCGTGTGCGCAGCTTGTAAATAATGATTATCGTTTGTTTAAAGTATTGCGAAGCTTTTAACCTGTAGCTTTAACAATTTTAAAACAGTTTACTAGTGATTTGTGTGATAAAACTGACGAATCTTTCTTATTGAGCCGTGAGAACGCTTTTACACACACATGCAAAAGTACGCGAAGGAATGTCGATTCAACGGAGAAATCAAGCAATTCAACGCCAAGCAGCGCCCATAACCAATAGCGAGCTTTCGAACTTTGTAGTTTGCCACTTGAGACACAGATGGCGTTGAAGTAACTTAAGTGAAATAAGCAAGGGGTGTATTTTTAAAGCGACGAACGTTACAATTATTAATATTGTTGTTTTATTTTATTAAGAATTTACCAGAATGAAATAAATACACTTTGAAATATTCAGGTTAAGCGGTACAAATGTATTGAATGCACACGTGTTATGTCTCGTAGTTTGATCAATATTTCGAAACTACAAGGTTGATACGATTGTTACGGCGTTTGTAAAACATAAAACAAAAGAATGGCTACTTGCTATCAGAAACATCCATTCGAAATCGAAACAGCCGATCGTTTAACAACAATAAACACTAAAATATTCGAAATAAAAAAGAAAATACAACTTTCAGGCAAGTACATGAATTTAAAAAAGTCTGGAAAAGGTTTCCTATGAAATACTTTTGTCCTAAAAGATATTTTAATTTGTAGAAGGCCAAAGGAAATCCCATTACGAAGAGAATGAATCAGAGAAGAAACAGAACATTGATTTGATTGATACATTAAAGAAGGAAATAAAATTAAGAACAGATGAACTCATACAGGCTCGTGCGGTGATCGGAGACGAGGAAGCACAGGTTAAGAAGTATCTCAACGCCATCTGTTCGGTTAATAATAAAACTGCTGATCAGGTATTGCGATAAAACCTAATGCTACCTTTAACTTTAATAACTGCTACACTGTGAGAGTTGTTAATTAGTCACTAAGGGACAGTCCCTTTAACACACTTAGTGAAGTGTTTGTCTAACTAGGCCAGGGGTGGTGAACATTTATGCAATGTTAAATGCATTCTTAGATGTGCCATCAAACGATATTGCTTGCGATTATTACGTTAATTCCATGGTGCACTTACTTCATAATTTTTTCGTAGTATTTTTTCAACGATTTTCCAAAAGAAGGAAGTACTCAATTCGTCTGTATGTTTTTTATGTGTATTACGACATAACTTCGCCGGTAGTGGACCGATTTTGATAATTCTTTCTTATCCGAAAGGTAGTGCTTGCTGTTGGGTCTCATTTTTTTGTTTAATTATTGGAGTCAAAGACTACGACGTAGTTAAATAGTTTATTATGATTGTCGACGTGCCCAAAATATTTTGTCGAGTGCAATTTAGCAGGCGTAATCGTTCGCCACCCCTAATCTTGCTTTAAATAAGGTCTTCGTAATTTTATGTTATTGTCAGTCTGTTACTTGCCTATGAATCTATCCTTTTATACTTTTGAAACATTAGCTTAATTCTTTTATTCGTAGATAATACACAATGTGGATTTAAAAGTGATTGAACAGAGAAAGATGTTGGATCTTTTGAAGTATGAGAAAAGGAGTAAAAAGAACAAACTCAATGATCTGGAGAAAGAATACGAAATATTACTAATCGAGAGCACTAAAAGTGATATCGTCAAATCTAAATTAACTACCAAAGCTAAAAAGGTATTAAAAACGATCATACTAATATTATAAATTTGAAAGTTTAGATGGATGGATGTTACTTAGAATTATTTATTTAATTTGTTTTCTTTATCCGTTTTACAGCACGTATCTCATTTAGAAAATGAAATACATAAGGTGCTTGTCCAATGGACGGAAGCTGAATTAGTTAAGAAGAAGTATTCCTCCATCAGGTAACATAACATGGCAACCCTTTTTATATTATATTTAAAAACCAGCTTTCGCCCGCAACTACGTTTGCGTGTAATCAAAAATAAGTAGCCTATGTGTTCTTCCAGACTGTGTTCTACATCTATGCCAAATTTCATCGAGATCCGTTAAGCCGTTTAGGCTACAAACTCTTACAAACATCCATTCATCCAAACTTTCGCATTTATAATATTAGTAACATATTCTATGATAATCACTAAAGCCTTCAGTTAATTATACTAAAGAATTGCTTAAAAATGACTGGTAGTTTGTCTTTTTGTTTCTTTTAATCTTTTTTGTAATACAGACAAGCTCTCATCGAGGACTCGGTGAAGTTTGAAAGCTCCCTCGGCCATATAGAAGAACTGCTGAAAAAGCAACAGGAAGAAATTAAAAAGATTGAAGTAAGATAGATTTTTACTCATTTTTATAAGTACTATAGGTAGCTGTTGCTCGCGACTTCGCCGCGATAATATAGCTTCATAATGGGGAAAGAATTTTCGAAATCGACTCAGTAGTTTTTGAGTTATTTCAATACATACAAGAATCCAAAAATACAAATCTTTCCTATTTATACTATTAGTATAGACAGATAATAAACGTAAAAAAGCGAAAGAACACGCAGAACTGGGGTAAACAGTGCTCACAAGAAAAACTTAATTTAATTCATGGTCGCTTGAAGTTTTCGGTTGACCTTTCAGTGTGTGAGAGCGGAGGCGTCAGAGACGCGTGTCCGGGCAGCGGCTGCGGCCGCAGAAGAAGCTGCGCGTGCGCATGCCGCGGAGCACGGCCGTGCTGCAGAACGAGCGTACTTCGCACACCGTTTCCAAGAGCGACGACAAGAGCTGGAGAAGCTAGAAAAGAGGATATTTCCACCTCCTGGTTAGTGACAAGATTTCTCTAGTTAGTAATTCGGAAGTGGTTGTATTGATGTTTAAATTTGCAGTGCGTCCTGTTCTTCACGAGGAGACGAACGGCTCGGTAGATGGTGACGTTGAAGAGGAGGCGTCCGCCGCCGCGCAAATGGAAGATATATTTCAAGCCTTAATGAAACTCACAGGTAAGATTTGAGAACTTATAACAGAACTGAGATAGAAAATTCTGCAATCACTATTTATTAAGGACGGCTTCGCCTGCGTGGAATTAAGAAAATAATAAAAAAGTTAGCGTATGTTACTCACAAATAAATCACCTTTCTAAAAAGGAAGGAATTTTTAAAATTGGCCCAGTACAAATACAAATCTTTTCTCTTTACAATATTAGTATAGTACCTATAGAAAACTCATACGGTGGTCTAAAAACGACGCAAGACAGGCTTGACCATTTTAGTTAGATAAGGCTTGTGTCAAACGGTAATGAATTCCACCGGTGGGTTTTCTTCAGGAGTATCGGAGCCAGAGGATGTGCTGGTGCGGTTCAAAGCACAGCGCGAGACGTGCCGGCGGCTGGGCTGGCTGCAGCGCGGCGCAGAGGAGGAGAAGCTGCGCTTGGAGCAGGCGCACGCGGCGCTGCTCGCGGAACTTGAAGGCTTCAAGTTCGCCTCCGTTAAGGATAAAGACGAGTAAGACGTAGTTCATTACCACTAGATTAGGGCACTCTCTATATATTTTACTAGCTTGCGACTTCGTCCACGTGAAATTAAAAAATATAGCCTATGCTCCTCACTATAGCAAAGCTTTTTAACGTTGAAGGATTTTTTGAAATCGGCCCAGTACCCTATTGGCTGAAATAACCAGAAATATTGGATTTTCTTATCATAAGGATGCCTATTTAGTTAATATATTTATTAGCACAAACTATCTCGTCTTTTCTTTTTAATTTTAATTAATCTATTGCAGAGGTCAAGATCTAATAAACGAGCTTAAAATCGAAATAGAAAAAGAACAGCAAGTTTACAATGAAGTACAGAATAAGATGGAAGAAGTTGACTCCTTCTTGTTGGAGATTAAGAGATTGTTGTATGATTTGTGTAAATTGCTTGACGTGAGTTTAATTCTAAATAATAATAAAAACCTTTTTATTTCCATCCCAAAATATACAGTGTTAAACAAAAATAAGAAAGATTTATGAAAATTAGTAACCGATAGCAAAAGGGGGAGGCTGAGCTGGTTTTTAGCCACCTCCCCCCTTCCCAAGATGTAAAAAAGGAGAGTAGATAGGTCACTATACACTTGTAAACTGAACTTAATAATCAAAAGATAATAAAACTATTTAACTACGTCGTAGTCTTTGACAACAAAAATCAATCAAAAAAATGGGACCCACCTACAAGCTAGCCACCAAGTAGTGGCGGAGTTATGCCGTAACACACATACAAAAAAATAAAAAAACATACAGACGAATTGAGTACCTCCTTCTTTTAGGAAGTCGGTTAAAAAGTAATTCGTAAATCGCTTACTGATTTATTTTTATTTCAGGTGATTCCTGAGCCATGTATACCAGAGTGGACGGCAGAAGCGAGAGATATTCAAGATATAATGTCTGTTCTTGCAGCTCGCTTTGAGAAAGCGCGCGCCCGCGCTCTGCTTATCAAGGAGAAGCGAACTGATTCTACAGCGATTGTGGTGCCATCTAACGTAAGTCTCAGGAGAATTTACTAGTTTTCAAGTGTCTATAAAGAGAAAATCTATTATTGTAATGAAGAAAGATTTGTATTTTTTGATTAATTTGATATCTTAGACGACGAGCGCAGCGCCGTCTGTCGGTGGGCTGAGCGCTTACAGCCACAGCACGCCGAAGGAATCCGAGAAAGCAATACCGACTTACAAAGAACTTGTACAAAGGGAACCTGTTAAAGCTCCTGGTATGGTTTAAATTATTATAAACAACTTGGTTTCCGTCCGCGTGGAATTAAAAAAAAAAACAAAAGTGAGTAGCCTATGTGTTCTTCCAGACTATCTTCTACATGTATGCCAAATTTCATCAAGTTTCGATCAGCCGTTTAGGCTACAAACTCTAACAAACATCCATCCATCTAAACTTTCGCATTTATAATATTAGTAAGATTAGTAAGAAGTATTATTTATAAATATGTCATTACAAATAAATAAATCACCTTTGAAGCTTTATGTGCAGTTACAATTTTTTTAATTAATTTTTTTGGAATAAAAAAAATTAAAAAAAAACAAAACTTTTGTTCGAAATCATCGATTCCAAAGCAATATCATTATATTTAAGTTAGTAGGCAATAAAAAGGCTATATTAGATCTATATTAACTTAATATTTAAATTTAAAAAAAACTGGAAAAATTCAATTTAATATTTTGGTTACTGAAATCGAGTTATCAAGTTGTCACATAAAATATATATTTTATATATGTTATGTTCAAGGTTGTCAAGGACACACTCCGTTACTAAACTCGTGCCGTTCGACTTCTGTAAATTACTATTATGCTACTATTTTGTCCCCGACAGCAAATATATGTCATCATAAATTTATACCTAATTACTACAATGGAATGTTATCTTAGTAACATTATAAATGCGAAAGTTTCGATCGATGTTTGTTAGAGTTTGTAGCCTAAACTGCTAAGCGGATTTCGATTAAAATTGGCATAGATGTAGAGAATAGTCTGGAAGTACACATAGGCTACTTGGTTTTGTTTTTTTTTTTTATCACGCGGACGGAATCGCCGGCGGAAGCTAGTTTTTTAAATAATTTCCATAACAAGATTCTTTCCGTATACAAGTTGGCGTAGCCTTAAAATAAAAAAAAACATACAGACGAATTGAGCACCTCCTCCTTTTTAAAGTCGGTTAAAAATGTGTACGTAAGGTCAAACAAATAATCTAAAAGCGGTAAACTGTCGCACAGTTGTTGTGCGATTGTCGAATGTTTCAGCAATTCAGCTGTTTAGTTATTTTTTATAACATAAAAAATAAAACGAGCAAGCGGCCACCTGAATACACCGATATGGAAAGCGACCGCTGCCCATAGACATCTGCAATTGCAGATGCGTCGCCTACCCTTATCCGACGGAGGAGGAGACGCACATAAAGAGGATATTTCCTCTTCCTATGCATCTCTTCCATCGTCAAATCTACTTCCCCTTCCCATCCTCTCATTATTGAGACGATGGGAAGCAATAGTTTAGTCAAAAGTGAGCGCTCTAATAGTGTTAAAATACAAATATTAAAATCGTAGATTACGAGATTTTTATACTTTCTAATTGTCGCAATTTAACCTGATAAAAGTCTTTTGAATATTTAAAAAAGTTTTTTTTTAAATAACTATCTTTAAAATAACAATTACCTTTTCAGTATCGGACGAGGAAGAGGATATACCATCACGCTGCTACCTGAAGAGACAAGCACAACTTATTGTAGACACCAAGTGTCGTAGGAAAGGGTTCCGACCGCCGTATCCTAGGAAATAATACTTACTAAACTACAACTAAATGAGAAGTTTAGATGGATGTTTGGAGTTGTCCTAAAACGCTCAACGGATCTCGATGAAAGATATATGTAGAAGATAGTGTGGATGAACACATGGGCTATTTTTGTTTTTCTTAATTTCACGTGGATGGAGTCGCGGGTGTAAGCTAGTAAACTATATTTTAACATTAAATTTTTAATATTTAAAAAATTTAAAAGTTTTGAGGAAAATGGTTGTGTTTAATTTAAATTTATTACCTTTACAAAAATATTCTACGGTGACGTAAATAACAAACCAAAGTGATTGCACTGACGCTATCGTGTCAACTGTCAAAGCTTTTATATTTATTTTTACATTAATTTGTTTAATTTTAGTTTATTTAAAAATTTGAATAAATATAAAAACAATGTTCTGCCCACACAAGAACTCTTACTTGCAATTAACGTGCTCGGTGGATCCCCGCGTCATCAACGCGGCGGTGGACAGAGCTATGCAGGTTAAGAAGTTTGATCCTCATACAGGTTTGTTCAGTTTTTAAAACTGTTAATTTAATAGACATTTGAAAATCTATTTTGCAAGGGTTCAAAACGTGCCTGACTTCTAGAGGAAAGACACCTCGGGAAACGACAGTGACTTGAAGCTAGTTTATCGCCCTCCTATCTTGTGACCATCTTCAAATCCGATTGCAAGAGAACCGGAATGTCCAAGAACGTTACCAAGACAATCTTACTAATATCATGAGTGCGCAAGTTTAGATGAATATTTGAAAGAGTTTACTACATCTAGAGCATAATCTGGAAAAACACATAGGCTTACTTTTTTTAATTCCACGCGCACGGTGTCGCTGGAGAGTCTAGTATATAACAAAAACTTAGAGAACTACATCTGGAGCGAAGGCTTTTTCTTCTTTTTTCCGTGTTTCAGAACGCCCGCCAGCACAACGTTTAGAATCAATGCAGCCATCTCTATTTGCCCCTCACGTTGACATCACACGCGCTACTCTTGGTTTCGGGCGGACTGGGCTGCGTCTGCTCGTTAGAGACCTACACTCCCCAGACCCTTTAATACAACTGCAGGCTATACACAGTGTGCTCGATCAGGTATAGTAATAATAATAAAGATTCTTTATTTAATAATCATTGTTTACAGGATCAATATCGCTTTGGTTCCTTAACTCGGAAATCCTGTGCAAGGAGCCACTGCGTTCCCTTTCAGTAACATTTAACAATATATAGATATTTTTTAACATAAATAAACCAGCGCTTGACCACATATACTAAGACTTTTGTGTAGCAAACTATTGTGAAATTATAGACGTCCACACACCTGTATATGACTTCGCATGTGTAAGTATATGCGTTATCAGAATAGAATTGGTAATTCTGTTAGCTTACACTTAAAACTCTCGTTGTATAAGTTTACGAGATCGATGACTTCAGTTTATTTTAATTTCAGGTACAAATATCAGAGAACGCGATGTTTCTAATCCAATTACACGTCGCACATCGACTCGTCGATTTGATGCTGGAGAGGAATCCTGTCATCAGGGAGAAAGTATGCAACATCCTATCACATCTCGCCAACTACTACCAAGGCAGGAGACATATACTCACCAGACCTGTCATCATCAGCAACTTAATGTGGCTCCTCATGAGAGGTAGAAAGGAAGTCAGGTATGCAGCGGGACACACTTTATGCACTTTATCTAGACATCTCTGTTGTTGCGAAGCTCTCATGAAAGAAGATGAAATCATCGACAACCTTCTAAAGATGATTAGGAACGATCATGTCGGGATTGTTCTTTTATTATTGGAGACGTTCATGCATTTAACTGATTGGAATCCTGAACCACCGTTGAAAGCCAACGCCTTCCAAGTAATGTTAACATTATTTGAGCACGAAGATCCTAGGATTGTTTCCTCCGCGATGGATTGTATGGCAAAATTGTGTGTCCATAGTGTTGGGAAAGAACTGGCTGATATATACGATATAACATTTGTATTGAGACCTTATTTGAACGGTACTATCAAGGTTAAGATAAGCGCAGTCGGTCTTATGCAATACACCACTTTGACTACAAGATCTAAGTGGCGTGCTAAAGAAATATGTTACAGTTTAACTAAGATTCTCGTATCTTTATGTCAGCATACGAACAGTCCTATACTGCAACTACGAGCTATGCAAGTGTTAATCAACTTGTGTGATTGTCCTGATATACGTTACTATATGAAGTCTCATTGGGAGAGGAAAGTAAAGAGGATTACTATCGGTTGTATAGAATTGTGGGACGGTACTGACGAACTAAGAACTTACGGCTTAGATACGAGGGTTAGGAGTAAATCATTTTCAAAGATAGATGAACATTCTAATATAGTTAATTTGTATACTTACGTTAGAAGAGTTGCGGCCGCTAAAGAACAATTAATACGAGCTATTAACTGGAAGTCGTATGAATAAAACTCTTTTCTGTTGTTTAATATTTTTATTGAGTGAAATATTGTGTTATTTGGTATTCGTTTGTGTCTTATACTATTGGCAAACTTAATCTACATATCAGTCGTTTTAACATACAGACATTCTGACATGTTTGTCTCGATATTACTTTCGCTACACATTTTTCCTAACTACAATTTTACTAAAATAACCTATAACAGTGCAACATCATAAGATTGTTTTATATAAGCAAACGAGCGAGGTCTACTAGAATTCGCCAAAATAGCGAAGCGATGCCCAGACACATTTGTAAACAAACAAAGGAAATGACGCACAAGATATTTTTATACTTGCTAGTCATTTCTAATCACTTCCCCTTCCCATCATTTCCTTGTACTAAAAGGTTAGAAACGGGAAAAGGACTTTCGACTTAATATTAAGTAATTAACTAATTGCCATATTAAATAAGCTATAAAGAGATAAACTTCTATGGCTACAAACATCTTAAAACTGCAAATCGAATATATGAGAGTAAATATTTTTTTTTAATTTCATAAAATACAAGAGCAATATCTTACAGCCTTACAAATACGCAGTATAAAGTTAAACTTAGGAATAAACTGAGTATAAGCAAAATTTGTAGTAATATTTGCTATTTATTTTTTATTTTAAACTAGCTTCTTCTGTGCGACAACATCCGCAAGAAATTATGAAAATTTCATTTTATTGTTTACATTTGTCAAATTATCAATAGCAAATGTCAAAATGACATGACACGACAAACTATGGCAACCTTGCTTCCTTGATGTTGGCAGCATCTTATGGTCTCTTTCCCACATTAGGGTTTTTATCCAAAATATTTACCAACTAAGTTTAATGGCGTGAAAATATGTAGCCTAAAGCGTAATGTAAGTGTAGGGCTTTTTATTAAATAAAGAGTTATTCAAAAATATGCTGTAATTCCTGAGATCTTAGGCAACAAAAAAGTGTGTGTTTACGCTTTATTATAATAGTATAGAAGTATAGATTTAACTTTATACCGTTTATTTGTAAGGGTGTTAATGTTCATTAATTACTTGTTACTAAAAGTTACTAGTGTGGTGTTATTACAATTTTACAGATAATATTAGAGAATCTAATAAAACACGAATATCATAGAAGAACAAATTAAAAAACGATAATTAAAATTCAAAATCATGACACAGTCGGTGGGAACTCCCTAGGAACTGGCAGACTTTTAAACCTTTTTAAAATAAGACTTAAAAATATTCGTATAATATTAGTTAAAGAACACTGGCAAACTATAGTTTATAGTCAAAATTAGAATAAAAAATAAAATTTCTATACAGCTGAAAAGCCGGAAAATATTTCAAGTTAAAAATATATGACGAATCTAATATTTTAAGTTTGTGCTAAGAGTAATATAGGGAATATGAAAAAACTACATTTTACAATAAGCCATGTGAAATATTTTCGCCTTAAATAATTTTATTATAAGAATTCTCTAGAGATTATAGAAATAGAGAGGTCTATACAAGAAAATCTATCGTTTCGTTATTATTCGAGTTATCGATATTAGTGTTATATTAATCGAAATCGAAAGTATATATAGTTTATTAATAATTTCATATCCTAGACAGTTGCAAAACAGCTGATAGCAAGCAAAACTTAAATACTACATTTATTTTTATTTCAAAATAATCACAGCATACTTTGGAATTCTAAGATAACTTATTTAAAACGAACATTGATGTACGCAAAAACATATAAAATACCACAGACATATAGAAATCACATCTACTAAACGAATATTCAATTTATTTAAAACAATCAACTTTCTAATCAGAACAATTCAATTATTTGGTTCCTTATTAAACATTTTAAACACTATCACTGGCAGGCAACAATAAAAACTTCGGCCTCCTAATTAAAAACAAAACACTAGTCAAAGTGTCAAAAATCGAATTTCAAACGTCAATCTGTCACATTCAAAAAAGGAACGTGACGGCTGTCAACTGTCAGCTGTCACTTTGTGAGGGCGTCCGCGCGCGCGTACTCATACAGGGCCTTGCACAGGTCGTGCAAGGTCGCGTCTCACCTGTTCCCTCCCCGCTTGTTGAGGGGGTCGTACACCTCCGCCTCCGAGTCGATCTCGTCCTCCGACAGAGAGAGGGATCCTCCTACACGACGTGTGCGGAGACCCTCCTGAAATATTAATACATTTTAGAGCTAGGAAGTAGCTAAAGTTGATTTGCGATACACAAAGCTTTAGTATTTTGAAATTTAGTAGATTTTTAGTTTTTTATGCTCTAAATTGGACACAGTTAGAACGTTAGAATATAAATTAAATTTTATTAAATTACTAGCATATTTGCGATCTTTTCTGACAATCAAAGTTGTATTATTCATTCTCAATTAATTAATATACTGGAACCAGAACTACAAGCACAATTAAAAACTGTAATTCTGGTAACAGAAAGTACGTAAAAAAGTTATTTCCAACGGCGGCTCCGGGTGGGGGGGGGTCATGGAGGTCATGACCTCCCCTGAGCTGGTCGGCCAAGAGCTTGACAAAATATATTTACATATTTTGTCAAGCTCTTGACTTGACCACGTATATGTGACCCCTGGCGCCAAAGTTGGATCCGCCCTTGCTTATTTTAAGACATCGCTAACTAATAATGGTATATGATACTACGTAAGATAGTAACATAAAAGGACTCCAAAAAGCGAAATAACTATGCTTATGTAATAACATACGAAATACTAAACGATATTAAGAGAATCCATAACATTGAATAGATGAACAGTGAATACGAAAATTGTATGAAAATTTCTTTTACCGTATGAATCAAATCTAAACGACCACGAATGATATGAGACAAAATTGAATAAACAAAGCAAGGCGTTTTAAGAACAGCATTGTAAAAGCGATAACAGTAAAAATGTGCACATTGTAGACGCATTTTATACAAAGCGTAGGAATAAAAAAGTTCTGTTCTGTTTTGTATTATCGGCAAAACATTTAACATATGCATATATGTTCGAAGTTTAAGCAAAAGACAATTTGTTAATCTGTCAGAATACGTCTTAATTTATTTTATTGTCATTTATGGTAGTTGGAATGGTAGAAGAATTTAGAATATATCATATACATCTCCACAATATATAAAGATACTGCTTAAAAGATTCGTAGTAAAACTTAAATAAATTCTTGAAGACTTTATTAACATACACAACACCAAAGTTAAATGTTAGCTGCAATACACCAATTACCATAACATATCTAGTGTATTAAATCCTAAAAGCATACCCAAGAAGCCCCAGACAGTGTGCTCCGAAACCATAGATAAAAAATTGAAAAAAAAAATTGTCTAAACCCAAAATGTGCACTCGTGCTCAATATGTGCCCACCAATTCCGTGTCACTGTGTCCGCCCGCCCACGCCGCGCCCTCCTCTACGCTCGACGACATCTGCCAGCAACAACCCACGTCAAATACACCATCGCTCACCAAATACACCAGCGCTTACCAAATACATCAGCGCTTAACAAATACACCAGCGCTTACCGAATACATCAGCGCTTACCAAATATACCAGTGCTCACCGTATACACCAGTGCTCACCGAATACACCAGCGCTCACCAAATACTATAAACTCGGTAAATGTACTAAAATATGTAAATTTAATATCACGCTAATGTGACTTTGAATTCTGAGTTCTAAAACAAATTTCTAATCAAAAACTACTAAGATAAAACTGTACAAATGATTAATACTGATAGATATCAGGAAGATCAAAGTCTAAAGTATTGATAGCTCTAATTATAAGAACAAATAAAACTTTCTCGTACTAAAAATCAAACTGTAATGAAGTAAAATTGTTTTTTCCCAACTTCCACTTTTCTAATTAAACGCAATAAAACCAGGATTTCGTATAGTTTAAATACCTAAACAAGAAAGTGTACCTCTAGTATGCCGGCGCTGGGCTCCGAGGCGTAACCCTCGAAGTGCCGCTGATCCTCCTCGTAGTCTGAGGAGGAGGAGGAGGTGTTATCGACGTCCTGTGCGGTGCGCACGGAGCACACCATCTGCGCTAGATCCGTGAACGTGTAACTGGAACAAAGTCAAATGCTAGTAAATGTCGTTCTACTACCCCACGTAGTTCATTAGAAACCTTGAACACTTAAAACTAAAAAAGGCCTCTTCTTTAAGACAGACTAAGCACGTAATTTACCCTCAACATCCATAAGAAAGGTCACTATAAAATACATCTATACTAACATTATACAGAACAAAGATTTGTATTTTTGTATGTAAAACTCAAAAACTACTGGGTTAATTTAAAAAATTCTTTCACTACTAAAAAGCCAAAAGGCCATATTATTTATTACTGTACTGTACTGGTGAAGTTGTACTAACTCGGTGAGCGCGGGGTGCGCGGGGTTCGTGGCGTGCGCGAGGTGCGCGCGGGGCGCAGCACCGACGCCGCTGACGCCGCCGCCGCCGCCGCGCCGCTGCCCCTCGAAGTACGCGGCGCCGTGCCGGTACCCCACTTCACGTATCTCGTCGAAGGAACCAAACTGAAGTGTTTTGTACGCGTCTATCGGAGGACGGATGTACTCACAGTAGTCGGAACTCTTCACCTCCTACAACCATTGTTGGACTTTTTAATACCTTTTGTAACCATAAATATATACTGCAATAAGCAGCTTAAAGAACTAAAACAATTTTAAAATGTTTTATGACGTTTCTAGGAATACAAAATATTTTATGACAATGTTTCTTGAGAATTTAACTGTTTTATGACAATGTTTCTGGGAACATAAAATATTTTATGACAATGTTTCTGGGAACATAAAGTGTTTTATGACAATGTTTCTAGGAAGATAAAATGTTTTAGTTAAATGTTTCTACTAGCGTATAATAGTAGTGTTACCTCTAACTGTCGATTGCAGGAGACGTATGCAAGTCTGCTCTGTATATCTGGCAGATTGGGCACTTTCACAGGTGTCGTGAATGGATTCCATCTGTAATGAAAAATAAAACATACATTAATATTGTATAATTGTGACTCTTATTGTTAATAAGAATAAGGTTTACTTTTTCCACAGCAGCCACCAGCCGGAGAGATCATCTCCATAGTTGGTAAGATCAGTATCGTCCTGAGAGCCCACGTCAATAGCTAAGATGTGCTTTGCGCCCAAAGATCGCATTACATCAGCTGAAATTAATATATTCAATTATTTTAAAACTTAACTTTTTTATTTTAAACTATGTTACGGATATTAATTAATAAAATATTTCAAATAGATGACTTGTACTTTAACTAACCATGAAACTTGTTTTTGTTTTTAAGAGATTGAAAAGCATGACAATAAATTTTATACATTTGTTTCGTTAATGTCAGTAAAAAAAACTTTAGTATCACAAACCTGGTACATTATTGACGTAGCAACCGTCTAATAAAAGATGGCCGTCCATTGGATCGCAGATTGGCGGGAAAATGCCAGCAATGCTCATCGAAGCTCTACAATACCTCCAGAGAACACCTGGCATGGCAACAATAGCAACGAATCCTACTCTATGACCGGTATCGTTTCCGGTACTTCTAAGTGTTGCCATTACTTACCGTTAAAATATGGTAAGCCGAGTGTAAATGTCATAAAAAAATAATTATTGTAACTTTACCTAAAACAAACACCCACAACCTTAATTTATACGTAACTCTATTTAAATCCCTCTAATTAGCCCAAGCTAAAAACTTTTTTCTACCGTAATCTTAACACTAAAATCTATTAAGTTTGGAGTTCGTGAATAGCCATTATAACCTCAAAGTTGAATAAATAGGTTAAGTTTGAAAGTGGGTGCTGTTTTAAATCGATGGATCATCCAAGTGTGCAAATGTGTGATCAAAAGTACAAAGCATTAAATGAAATATTTACACTCAGCCTAAAACGCTCTAGAAACATCCAATTTAATCACGTGACAGCCGTCACGCTATCTGTGATT